TAACATTATAACATGATATAAAACTCAAAAAAGTTGATTTTACATGATATTGTCCCTTTAACCAGCTGATCATATTTTTTGTGCCATAATGTTGCAACACCACCAGCTATCCTTCCCCAAATTATTCTGGTTCTAAAATCGGTAGTGGAATCACCAGCACCATAAAAATCTTGATGTATGCAATTCAGCTTCTCCAGGTCCTGTTTAGCTAAGAATGTCTCCTGCACACACAGTACGTCACAAGTCTCCAGTAAATTGTCCACCACAAAGCGGCGCGCTCTGTCTGTTTCACTGTATTCAATACACAAACCTTGCGCATTGTATGGCACAATAATAATACCAATGATTTCTTCATCAGGATCTGCGTGGTCGTTGCTCATCTGTGGTGCTACAGATGCAGATACGTTCTCAGAGTGTTCCTGCAGTATACCAGTCTCTGATGTTTGAGTCAAATGGATACTGTTAGTTTTTGGTCTGCGCTCCTCAAAGTAGCGACACACATACACACCCGTCAGCCAAAGTTTTGGATCGTACATTTCTGCAACTTCAGAGCACTTTGCAGTTAAATGAAATGAGCTAAATTCGTTACGCATTGAGTCTATCTTCCTGCATGTCACCGACTGGCCCAGTTTCTCAGTCAGATAGGCACGCAGAGTGTCAGCATCGAGTTCAGGAGAGAATCTTGTAGCAAAGACACTTACCAGCTTGGTTTTAATCGCTGGGATGTTACTTGCTGTGTCCGTGCCAATTATTCCTCCTTTGCGCTGCTCCCGCTTTAGATGATTTTGTGGTCCATGTCCCAGTGACACAGCCCCCTTCAAGGGTTTCTGGGGCTTCGGCTTCCCTTTCCTTAAAACAGTACTCCAAGCTGGAGATAGGACTTTTTGATTGGAGGCCTCTTCTGGTTGCTGCTGTTTAGCATCTTTTCCACTTAGCCCTTCCAATTGCATCTCAGCCTGTGTTGGCCCATGCACGGGTTTGTTAGCTCGATTAGACCCATGAGGTGTTCCAATATCTGTCATCCGGCGCTCCAAATCCACCGTCGCTCATCCAAGATTTTCACTCATAGTAGCCTGAGCTTCCATAGCTCCTCTTAGCACAGAGACTTCCTGGCTTAGACGCTCCATTCTACCGAGCAGGGCCGAGGCATCAATATTGCCGAAGCCAACAGGTGGAAGGTCGTCCAGGTAATGCGAGACAAAACGGGGAATATTCTCACCACGCTTGTCTAACAACTTCAAGCAATCCTTTAYATTATTTACGTCTTTCTGTGCGCCCTTATGTTTGATGTTGCGCTGCTTTGTTGGGCACAGTTCATACAGAAGTCGTTTTGACTCTTCAGTCCAGTCAGATGAAAATTTGTTTATGGCCAACAAGACAATGTCATCATGCGGCAGTGTTTTTATCTTATCAGAAATAAAATGTAGAAACTCATCTCCCACGATCACTTTACCGCAAGTAGTTTTATAGACTTCAGGTTTTGTACGAGAACAAGCATCGTCAGGATGGTAAGCTCCTGCTGTTGCCGCCGCCACCATGATTATTTATTTATTTATTTATTTATTTATTTATTTAGCCCTAAAAGAAATCCTATTTTAAGGCTGAAGTGTGTTTGTGCAGAATTGAAAGATATATAAATAAAAACAAAGGTCAGATTCTGTAATGTAGATGTTAGTGTGAGGACATAGAGAGCAAAACTGTCAAAACTCCTGTTTAATGTAATAACATCAGGCATCAGGGGAGCACAGCAGCCACGCCCACTTCTGCTCCGTCTAGTAAATGGTAAAAGGACTGTACTTATATAGTGCTTTTCTATCCATCCAGGACATTCAAAGCTCTTCCCACTACAATCTGTGTCCTCATTTACCCATTCACACAGCACTCTATTAGGTCTCTACAAAGCTATCATGTACAATCTATGGAGACTAATCAGTGCCAATCACACTCATACACTGATGGCACACACATCAGAGGCATTGGAGGTGAAGTGTCTTGCCCAAGGACACAACAACTGACACAGCTGGATGGGGGATTGAACCGGTGACGTTCCAGTTCCAGGATGACTCCCCTTATCACTCTGCCACAGCTGCCCCAAAAACCTGTAAACCAGTAAACCTGGGGGGACTGTGGCAGAGTGGTTAGGAGAGTTGTCCTGTAACTGCAGGGTTTCTGGTTCAACGCCCTGTTCCAGCCGTCTCAGTCCTTGGGCAAGGCACTTCACCTGCCTTGTGAATTGATAGTGGTCAGAGGGTCCAGTGGTGCCGGTGCATGGCAGCCCCACCTCTGTCAGCTATGGCGACATTGGAGCTTGCCACCATCAATGTGTGTGTGTGTGTGTGTGTGGACCGGTATTCTCTACATGGTGGGACAGTTTTTGGCAAACACACCTACGTGTGGGGACCTAATTTTACTTATGGGGACCTGAGTCTAGTCCCCACAAGGGGAAACACTGTTGGTGGGTCGGGTTTGGGTTTAGGACCAAGGTGTGAATTGAGTTTAGGTTAGTTTTAGGGTCAGGCAACCTGTGAGGTTAGGGTTGGGTTGGTGGTCAGGGTTAGGCTGTAGAAAATAATGGGTCAATGCCAGGTCCCCATAAAGATAGCTGTACCAGATTGTGGGTGTGTGGGTGTTAATGGGTAAATGTGTGTGTGTTTGGAGTTCAACAAAACTTGATGAAACACATAAGTTCAGGCCAGTTTCCAATTTGATGCTGAGTTTTGTGCTTTCAGCAGGAAGACTCGATGGACTTTAAGACTGTAAGAGCCATGTTTGAGGAGAAGGAATACCTCCTCAGGCAACACAAGGCCAGACCTGTTGTCCCGGACAAACCAAAGGCCATATCTACTCCTCAGAGTCCCTCTCACCTCCCCCCTCAGAGTCCCTCTCACCTGTCCCCTCAGAGCCCCTCTTACCTCCCTTCAGGTGCACGTCCCTCCCTGCTCACCTCCATGACCCAGGCCTTGGAGGCGAAAGCATTGAATGCCCCCAGAGTGGTCTTCAAGGATGAAAAGGATGCAAAGAAGCCTCTCATCCAGACTAATGTGAAAGGTAAAGAAAAATCTAATGGGAATGGGAAGGAAGGTAAAAGTAAGACAGGAAAAGAACGCAATAAGCCTGATGAAAAACAGGAAGACTCATCGGATCAAAAAGACAAGAAACTTCTGTCATTTCTGACGAAGAAGGAGGAAACAGCAGAGTTGGTACCAGCACCCCCTCCACCTAAGGTACAGAAGAAGAAGGGTTTCCCTGTTTTTAGGAAAAGCACAAAACATGATTCTGCAATAATCATTGACTCCCTGACCCTGGGAGAGTCTGGACCAGCACCCTTCATCCCGGTGTCTTCTGAAACTGATAACATACCTGAAGAGTCTGTCTGCTCCGTACCAAAATCCAACCCCTCAGCTGGTCTGACCCCACCCTCCCATACCCCTACACCCCCTGACTTGTCCACACCTCCTGCTATTCTTCTTGAAGTCCCCGTTCTAAAAGCCCCAGCCCGACAGAAACAACCCTCACCTGACACAGAAAACCCTGTTCTGCCTGATTTCAATACGATCAGACAGAGTGATGTGATTCTCGGTCCACCAAGTTTTGTCCCATCTCCTCCAACTGCTGCTGCCCCCATACCTCCAACCATTGCTGCCCCCACACCTCCAACCATTGCTGCCCCCATACCTCCAACCATTGCTGCCCCCACACCTCCAACCGCTGCTGCCCCCACACCTCCAACCACTGCTGCCCCCACACCTCCAACTGCTGCTGCCCCCACACCTCCAACCATTGCTACCCCCACACCTCCAACCATTGCTGCTCCCACACCTCCAACCATTGCTGCTCCATCTCGTCCAAGCTTTGCTCCTCCATCCCCTCCAAAACGGGTGGCTCCAGCTGGCTCCGCCTCTTCAAACAGCGCTCCTCCATCTCATCCAAATGCTGCTCCTCAAACTCCACCATCTGTTGCAGCTCCAGTTACCCCAAACCTTGTTGCCCCCAACCTCTCAGCCACAGCTGTCCTTGATCCTGTACCCAGTGTCTCTCTCACTCCCCTACAGAAAGCTTCTCCCACCTCTCTGCTCTCTGACTCCCCAGCTCAGTCACCCAGTGTAAGCCCCATTCCTCCGGCCAGGCTGACTGTGTCAGAGGCGTCTCCTCCTGACCTCCGGGTCTCAGGGGGGTATCATGCAGAGGACAGGCTTCTAACTCCAGACCTGGACTCAACATCGAAACTGGAACGTTCCATCTCTGCACTCACAGCCCTGGAAAGAGCAGAGGACATGAGCACTGGAAAGAGAACCCCTCCAAGTGACCTGAGGATTTTAAATGCCTTGGAGAAGGCACGCAGGAAGGCTGCCAGGTAAACAAACAAACAAATCTGACTCACCTAGAGGTTAGAGGTCACAGAGGTGGGAGATTTTGTTAATTTATACCAGTTAGGGCTGYAGTCGAAGGCGGGGACCTTGGTGGTCTGATCCTCGGCTACAGAAGCTGGCTGTAGGGAYGTGGAATGTCACCTCTCTGGTGGGGAAGGAGCCTGAGCTCGTGTGTGAGGTTGAGAGGTTCCGACTAGATATAGTTGGACTCACCTCGACGCACCACTCTGGCTCTGGAACCAGTCTCTTCCAGAGGGGTTGGCAACTCTTCCACTCTGGAGTTGCCCATGCTGAGAGGCGCCGAGCAGGAGTGGGCATACTTATTGCCCCCCATCTCGGTCACTGTACATTGTGGCTCACCCCGGTGAATGAGAGGGTAGCCTCCCTTCGCCTATGGGTAGGGGGATGGGTTCTGAGTGTTGTTTGTGCCTATGAGCCTAACACCAGCTCAAATTACCCACCCTTTCTGGAGTCCTTGGAGGGGGCGCTGCAGAGCGCTCCTAATGGGGACTCCCTCATTCTGCTGGGGGCCTTCAACGCTCACGTGGGYAATGACAGTGAGACCTGGAGAGGTGTGGTTGGAAGGAACGGCCCCCCCGACCTGAACCCGAGCGGTGTTTTGTTATTAGACTTCTGTGCTCATCATGGATTGTCCAAAACGAMCACCATGTTCAAACATAAGGGTATTCATATGTGCTCTTGGCACCAGGACACCCTAGGCTGCAGTTCAATGATCGACTTTGTTGTCGTATCATCTGATCTGCGGCCGCATGCTTTGGACACTTGGGTGAAGAGAGGGGCGGAGCTGTAAACTGACCACTACCTAGTCGTGAGTTGGCTCCGCTGGTGGGGGAGGATGCCAGTCAGACCTGGCAGACCCAAACGTATAATGAGGGTCTGCTGGGAACATCTGTCAGAGTCTCCCGTCAGACGGAGCTTCAACTCACACCTCTGGGAGAACTTCAAACACGTTCCAGGGGAGGTGGGGGACATTGAGTCCGAGTGGGCCATGTTCCGTGCCTCCATTGTCAAGACGGCTTACCTGAGCTGTGGCCATAAGGTTGTCTGTGCCTGTCGTGAAGGCAACACTCAAACCCGCTGGCGGACACTGGCGGTGAGGGATGCTGTCAGGCAGAAGAAGGAGTTCTGTCTGGTCTTTTTGGCCTGTGGGACTCCAGAAGCAGACAATAGGTATCGGAAGTCCAAACGGATTGCGGCTCGGGTGGTTGCTGAGGCAAAAACTCGGGCATGGGAGGAGGTCAGAGAGGCCATAGAAAAAGATTTCTGTATGGCTTCAGGGCAATTCTGGTCCACCATCTGGCGTCTCAAGGGGAAGAAATGGTTCGCCACCAACACTATTTATGGTGGGGATGGTGCGCTGCTGACTTCAACTCAAGACGTTGTGGGTCGGTGGGCGGAATACTTCGAAGACCTCCTCAATCCTACCGCCACATCTTCCCATGAGGAAGTAGAGCCTGAGGACCCTGGGTTGGACTCTCCAATCTCTGGTGCCGAGGTCACAGGTGGTTTAAAAGCTCCTCGGTGGCAGGGTGCCAGGAGTGGATGAGATTCACCTGGAGTTCCTTAAGGCTCTGGATGTTGTGGGGTTGCATTGGTTGACGCAACTCTACAATATCGTGTGGACATTGGGGGCAGTTCCCCTGGATTGGCAGACCAGGGTGGTGGTCCCCCTATTTAAAAAGGGGGACCGCAGAGTGTGTTTCAACTATAGGAAGATCACACTTCTGAGCCTCCCTGGTAAGGTCTATTCATGGGTTCTGGAGAGGAGGGTCCATCAGATAGTCAAATCTCGGATTCAGGAAGAGCAGTGTGGTTTTGGTCCTGGTCGTGGAACAGCGGACCAGCTCTACAGCCTCAGCAGTGTCCTGGAGGGTGCATGGGAGTTCGCCCAACCAGTCTACATGTGTTTTGTGGACTTGGAGAATGTGATCGACCGTGTCCCTCAGGGACTCCTGTGGGGGGTACTCCAGGAGTATGGGGTACCAGGCCCATTGATACGGGCTGTTAGGTCCCTGAATGACTGGTGCCAGAGCTTGATCCGCATTGCCGGTAGTAAGTCAGACTCGTTTCCGGTGAGAGTTGGACTCTGCCAAGGTTGCCCTTTGTCACAATTCTGTTCATAACTTTTATGGACAGAATTTCTAGGAGCAGCCAAGGTGTTGAKGGGATCMTTTTTGGTGACCTTAGGATCACATCTCTGCTTTTTGTGAATGACGTGGTCCTATTGGCTTCATCAGATCGTGATCTCCAGCTCTCAATGGAGCGGTTCGCATCTGAGTGTGAAGCGGCCAGAATGAGGATCAGTGCCTCCATATCTGAGACCATGGTCTTGAGCCGGAAACTGGTAGCGTGTCACCTCTGGGTCAGGGAGGAGGTCCTGCCCCAAGTGGAGGAGTTCGAGTATCTTGGGGTCTTGTTCACGAATGAGGGAAGAATGGAGCAGGAGATCGACAGGCGGATTGATGCTGCATCTGCAGTGATGAGGGCACTGTACCGGTCTGTCGTAGTGAAGTGGGAGCTGAGCCAGAAGGTGAAGCTCTTGTTTTTTGGGGTCGGTCTACGTTTCTACCCTCTTCTATTGTCACAAATTTTGGGTAGTCACCAAAAGAACGAGATCGCGGATACAAGCAGCTGAAATGAGTTTCCTCTGCAGGGTGTCTGGGCTCTCCCTTAGAGATAGGGTGAGAAGCTCGGTCATCTGGGAGGGACTCAGAGTAGAGTCGCTGCTCCTCTACATTGAGAGGAGCCAGTTGAGGTGGTTCATCTGGTAAGGATGCCTCCTGGACGCCTCCCTGGTGAGGTGTTCCGGGCATGTCCCACTGGGAGGAGACCCAGAGGAAGACCCAGGACACGTTGGAGGGACTATGTTTCTCAGCTGGCCTGGGAACACCTTGGGATTCGCCCAGAGGAGCTGTTCCAAGTGGCTGGAGAGAGGGATGTCTGGGTCTCTCTGCTTAGGCTGCTGCCTCCAAGGCCTGACCCCAAATAAGCAGCAGAAAACGGACGGACAATACCAGTTAGATGGCTCTAATCTGTTKTTTTATCTGCTTTCAGCCCCTTGTTAAATTCTAACCATTACTCCATTACCCCTCCACCTGAAGACCACCCATTGATGGAGAGGCCTAGCAGTCCCTTCCTGGATCTTCCACCCATTGATTATGAGGGAGAGAAGCCCTCCTCCCCGAAACCAGCAGCTGTTAATGGGACAGACCACCGTAAGTCTCCTCCTTCTTTATTGGTTTGATTTGTTTGTTTGTTTGTTTGTTTGTTTGTTTGTTTGTTTGTTTGTTTGTTTGTTTGTTTTTGCTTAACATGAACAGAGTAGCCACTTGTGTTATCAGAGCACCAGGTTTATACAGATATTTGGGGTGATGGTGGCAGAGTGGTTAGAGGAGTGGTTTCTCTAATGTGAAAGTTGGCAGTTTGATTCCCTGCTATTCAGTCACATGTTGAAGTGTCCCTTTGAGCGTCCTGGTTGGATAAAAAGGAGCTGTGTAAGTACAGTCCTTTTACAAAGGCTAAACAAAGTTTGAATTCTGCAGAAAATCATGTATTTTTGTCGACTTACCAGCTCAGGCTGTGTTAGTGTGAAGACAGCAGTCCTGTCATTCTTTTAGGCAGAAACAATGGAGCAGCAGTGAAGGAAAGAGCTGCTCAGGTATGTCAGCTATGACAAACAACAGTTCAGGACCAGTAAACACCACTAATGTAGTCTGAGACTAACTCTAACTCAGGCAGATTTATGTTCAAATCATGAAACATGCAACAACTAGGAAAGTTTCTACATGGATATGTGGAGTAGCATTTAATGAAGTGCAGACATGTTGCAGTAATACAGTTCTGTAGAAACAAGGAGGCTTTAATCTGATGCAGGAGTCCAGTTTGTCTGCTCTGTTTTGTTTTTTGTACAAATAAAAGTTTTCCATTTTACTTTCTTCCCCTCACTTCATCTTCTTGATGTGTTTTAACTTATAAATAAACCTGTCAGTTCAGTTTTAGGCTGTCAAACAGCTGAACATTGCTTCATTATTCTGACATTTTACCAACAGTTTGAATGTTTGGGTTGAGACTCTGTTCTTCTTTGCACACCCAGGCTCTGCAATCAGGGCCAGCTTGAATCAGGAGGGGTCTGATGCTGCAGCAGAGCTCCGACTACACCCCACTCCTCCACCCAGACAGGTCCAACCAGAAGCCCTGTCTCTGTACTCTTCTCCAGTAAAACCTGCGAGAGCTCCCTCTATCTGCCTGAGTCAGCTTGATTTTATTCCTCCTCCTCCTCTTTTTGAAGGTAGGACTTTGGTTTCCAACTTTATACTCTTCTTTTTTTAAGATAGTTGAAAATCTAGTTTTATTTTGCTCTTCTGGTGTGCAGAGTTTGCAGAAGATGAAACTGCAGATGTTCCAGAGTTGGAGGATTTAGTTTCTGGTGCTAATTCTCCAGAGGTGGTAGCAGAGTGGGAACACAGGAACAACAAAGGTGTTGATGCTGCAGCTGGACTGAAGCCATTAGAGGACAGAGTCTCTGACCCAGAGTATGAAGACAACGTAGAAGAAATTCCTCCTCCACAAACCTCCCTCCCAGCTGTTCATCAAGCTGTCCAACCAACTGTCCAACCAGATGTCCAACCAGTTGGCCAACCAGATTCCCTCCCAGTGGCTAAAGACCCACCACCAGTGGACGAGTAAGACATTTTTTCAGTTTTCTTTAGTCTGTTCAGAAGTTGTGTTTTACTTGTACTTCAGTCATTTCACACTTTTGCAGTTTTAGTTATGATGTATCCAGGCTTTCATGTGTACAAAAGGAGCTGGTGGGTCTCTTCCTTTGTCCCTTGTCAACTGGAGCAATGGGCCTCATGCAAGAACATGTTCGTATTCATATCCTAAATTTCTCTTACTTTTGTTCGTACAAAGGGTTCGTACGAACAT